TATCACAATTTTTTGTGATAGTCAAAGTGTTATTCAATTAGCGAAGAACCAAGTTTATCATGCAAGGACGAAGCACATTGATGTTCGGTATCATTTCGTACGAGAAATCATAGAAGAAGGTGGAGTCACGGTGAAGAAAATTCATACTACAGAGAATCCTGCTGATATGCTGACAAAAGTGGTGACTGCGGTCAAGTTTCAACATTGTTTGGATTTGATCAACATTGTTGAACACTGAAGATTGAAGATGAAGACACAACCAAAATTTGATATTGAGAGAAAATTGAAGATGTGAAATTTTGCCAATGTGGAGATTTGTTGAATTTGGCAAATCTCACATCGGTGGTTTAGCCATTTGGTAGGGAATTTTTCCCTATAAAAGGAGGCCTAATTTTTAGGATTTAGACACACCTCTCATTTGCCTTCTTATCTTCTTAAGACATTTGTATCTTCACTCTTTAGTATTATTTAACTTGTATTTTTGGAGTGAAATAAAATATTAGTTGTGTCCGAGGAAGTAGGCAAAATTGGCCGAACCTCGTAAATTCTGGTGTTCCTTTTATTGTTGTTTTATTGTCTTATTTATTATTTGGTGGCTGCCATAATTTTTGGTATAGTAGTTGTGACTCATTCACACTATATACATTTGGCTTCCGCAACATATTCATCATACGAGTGTTCTGATATTGACGATCGAGTACATTTCTTCACAAAAGCCAAGTATCCATGATATTCTTTAGTCAGTTGATTTTGCAAAATGATACTAACTTCTACCTAATCCCTGATAGTTTTGAGCCATTAGAACAACTCTTTGCTTCAAGGATCAATAGGGAGTTACCAGATAAAGAAGAAGACACCAGATATGGGAGGTTAGACAAACCTCTATAGTGTCTTGACCTTTCTCCATAGTGAACATGATCGTGCTCACATCGACGCCCATGAATTTTGCCTCAATTGCTCCAGTTCTTGCTAGTTTTGTCCATTTCATGGCTATTTCAGAAACCTTCTCCTGTAAACAAGTTTGATCTCAATTAATAATACATTTACTTTGCAATCCTACCTAAGCCTCTGCAAACTAGCTGCCCTTCAGTTCAATTAATTATGCTTCAATCCAAAATAAGTTTGCTATTAATCCGAATAGATCTGAATGGGCAGAGACAGATATAAGATTTTATCTTATGGATTCAAGGTTCAAAATTCTTTAAAAAATGGGTTCTAAACATAATATATTTACCAATTTGTAGAAGTTCTCACAAATATAGCTATGGTCTAAATAGAAAATTGCTGATTGAACCCATCCCGAATACCTGGGGTCGATCCAGTGTTTTGGCATCGGTTTATCCAGACACGATATTTTCTTCAATGCTGAATATAGAATTTTAGGGTTTAGGGTTGTTGTTGTTGTTGCTGAATATAGAATTTTACATGAAAATCCACAAATTAAAATCTGGCCTCTGGAAAAATACATCAGCCACAGCAAAATGGATATAGAATATTTGGATAGTTTACTCCCACCAGCTCGGGATTGAGATGCAGTTGGTAGACAAGGCAATCTCCCTCGGGAATGACCAATATTTAAGATGTAGTTTTTCAACATATTCATATGAGAAGAATTGCAAATTATAAGTAGTATTTTTCATATAATTTTCAAATATTTAAATTTACCTAATAAGCAACCTCCACTTCCAACCAAGAGGTTGTGAGTTCGAGTCTTCCCAAAAGCAAGGTGGGAAGTTCTTGGAGGGAAGGATGTCGGGAGTCTATTTAGAAACAGTCTCTCTACCCCAGGGTAGGGGTAAGGTCTGCGTACACACTACCCTCCCCAAACCCCACTAGGTGGGACTACACTGGGTTGTTGTTGTTTAAATTTACCTAATATTGTACAAATTAACTTTAAAGATTAGTTAAATTAATTCTCGAGAAGCAAAACGTGACAAGTAATTTAGGACCGAGGGAGTATTTTACTAGATTCTATGCTCTAAGTAGGAATATCAATTTAACTCGTCATTACTCGTCACATTATTCCGTACTAATCCGAATTAACAAAAAAGTAACAATGTAGTAATTAAAATTGAGTTTAAGTTTTATGCCGACGGTGAATTAATTATGTGATATGCACAAAATTATAAATAACATGTTATCACTAAAATATTTAAATTGTCTAAGTATATAATTTAAATCCATTGAAATTTAGAGGTAAAGCAAGAGATACCGGAGTCCGAAGAGTTCCAAGTCTGAGTTTGACAAATCCAAAAACCGGACCCGACTGCCGCTTCATCATTTCCGATTGAATTTCCGACGGACTCATCGTGCTAAAATCCATCGGCGGCGGATCGAAATCGGATTCGGCCGATTTCTTTCGTCCCCATTCTCTCCAAGCTTCATCTTCCTCATCGTCAAGGACGTCGTCGAGATCGTCGGAGATTTGGATTCTCCGTTGAGCTCCATGGGCAAATCGGTAAATAATTCCAGTTTCAGTGGCAAGTAATAACAGCACCAAACAAATAACTGTTGATGAATTAATTTGTATTTGCTTTCTCATTGTGCTGATGATTTATTTTTCAGTTAGGGATTTGGTTTATTATAATGCTTTCCGCGTTGTGAATAAATAGGTTTTTGGGAAATTATGTGCTGGAAAGTGGAAGTGTGCATTATTCTGAGCATGTTAAGGCACGATTTGCATGAATGTTCTACTTCACTTTTTTCTTATTTTCTTTTGTTAGAGTGTGGTTTCTAATACTCCTCGGTCTCGTATTATCAATGGTGAATATTAAAATTAGTTGTCTCTGTTATAAATAGAATTCTATTTAAGGTGAATGTCTATATTCTAAAGAGATTCTAGGGTTTATTACTTGATGGCTAAGTTACTCTCTCCTATAAATAGAGGGTTTCATTCCATTGTAAATCATCCCAAAATCAATAAGAGTTCTCTCTTCCTACTTTTTTCTGCAATACTCTTCTTCTTCTTTTATTGTTTCATAACACGTTATCAACACGAGACTCTAACCAATTGAGTAGAAGCTTTGGGATTGAGCATAATGATTGTCAATTGTTCTTTGAACTTCCTTCATGATTAAATTCTGGATTTAAGGTAAGTATTTTACTTTTCTCTTTCAAATTCTTGACATTCTATACTTTAATTTTAAATACAAGCAAAGACGATAAATTTTGATTGCAACTCTAATGGAGTTTGAAAGATATTATAACCACCCAAAGTGGTAAAATTTCTATGTCTTGCCATGATCAAATTCATGTATGATTGTGGGCAAAGAATTGAAAACCCGTCCCATTGAATTTGCTCCATTCTCATTCCCTTTAGATAATGTGATAGCAGTATATGATAAGTCTGAAAGAAGACAAAATTATTACTATGAATGTATCAATGGATGTGGACGTGGCAATAGACGAAATTATAATCGTCATCATTGTGGCAATGAGAACAATAAGGATTATCAAAATAATTATTCACTTTGTGAAAGTAATATTTGTCATCAATTTGACATGAGATTTTATAAAGAACATATAGATGATTATGGTCCATTCATGATGTGAATATAACAATATCTAATTTATAAATACATATTCATTCTTGGAAGAATATGAACGTGCTAGTGGTAGTGAATATACCACACTCACCTCTAGAAGGAGGTTTGAGATGATATAAGAAAATAATGTCATTATTATGGCATGAATGGTCATTGATCACGTACCTATTGCACACCAAAATATTTTGGTAATGCGATTATTAAAGAATAACATTAATGCATGAAACATATCTTGCATATAATTTTGACCATAACTATAATGATATAACTTTCTCTTTAAAAGAGATTCACAATATTAATGTTGATGAATATGTGGTAGTACAAAATTAATTGAGAACTCTGCAAGAGCCAATTATACTATTTTGGAGAAACACAATTAATTACCAATAAGGTATTGTGTTGTAGTAAGTCTCAAAGAAACTTATTCAGTTTCCAAAGTACACGTGAAAGCAGTTGATTATATTGAGACTATAAATAAAGAAAAGATTTAATATCTTCTATTACTACAACTTGTAGCGGGGTAATATGTATGTGAAAAGTTATCCGCTTTATTCTTCAGTTTGTACTACACAAATAAAAGAACATCATACTAAAGTGGATATTTATTGATATAAAAACCCATATCATAATAAACTTGGAGTTTATTGATAATTGCACATGTCATGGTGTAAACTTGAACTTATCAATATTGATAATTTATTTAGTTGGCATAATTGGTTTAGCCATATCAATTTAAGAATGATGTGCAAAATAAAAGAGAGTTCATATGGGTAAATATTAAAGAACTAGAAAGTTCTTTACGAATTCTCTTATATTGCATGTTCTCATTAATTAAATTGACCAACTAAAATTGGGATTGAATCCCATGAATTCTGGAAATATCAAAGGTGAATATGGGCACATTCACCTGCCATGTATACCACATAAGATGCATCTATGAGATGACTACATGTGCGATTATCATTAACCCGCAATATGATGTTTTGCGAGGTAACTTGCTCAGTAATTTAATTTCGAGCATAATTTCCAGATTTTCTATTCAAGAAAGTTTATCTTGATAAGTTGGTTTACATCACAGTTGGTTTAGCAAAATAATTTATTGAGTGCCTCCACTTAATAGCTAAACTATTGTTTATGAGAACAAAGTTATCTATATCAGTTTGTATATTACATTCTCCCCTTACAAGTGGTTCGGGGTCAAGAACCAAATAATTCCATCTTATTATTATTGATATGCGGTGTATATTTTCATTAACACCATAATGCACAAAGATGGATTTCCAAAGTTGAGGAAGCAAGTTAGTTTTTCTAACATGAGGGGGAGACAAGATACAACAGTTGAGAAAAAAGTTACATGGAATGAATTATTATTTATACATATAGATCCTCGAATAGGATAATATGAACCTGAAGTTCATAAAAGGATAATTCATTTGCAATATATTGCAAAGCATGCCAGACGCATTTGCTGACCCAAAAAAGTAACTATATTCACATTGCAAATGCTCATATTAAGTCCTAAAAGGACAAAGTCTATGGTACACTTAAAGCGTATAGACAAATCGGTTGCAAATAGAACTTCTTGATGAAGAAGATGAGCAAATGATCATAATAAAGGAGGCAAGTGATCTAGAAGCTCACATGAAATAATACTTCATAAAATCTCAATAGAGTTTCAGGTACCTGAATATATGAATTAAGAGATCTCTATGTTATGTCTTTATGAAAAATTATTGGAACCGATATAAAATGTTCGTCGACGACATCTGTCATAGCGCTAAGTATAGATGGGGATCTTAAGGCTGTCGAGACAGTAACAAAAATATTGGCCAAATAGACGATACACAATTCAAATAGAATTGGTTTAATATGAAAGACATGTAGTTTTGGACATGTAGTTCAAATACTTGAAAGTATAAAGTCAGTGGTATGTGCAATCAGTTTCCGATATCTTAAGACAAATTAATTATTTTTTTTATTCTTATTAATAATTGTTCTTAAAAATAAATATAACACAACCTTATTACAAACAATGTTTGCTCGTCTTTAAAGAACTATTGAGTGATGTAAACAAGGAGTTTCTTTAAAAAAAAAATACTCTTATACGAAGCCTGTAAACAAACAAGGGGTATATGTACACTTAAACGGAAATGTTAAAATAAATCTTTCATCAATTATCTCCATGCATCTCAAACAGAAAAAGGACAAAGTCAAAAAGAGCCTGTTTATCAAGGAGTTTTTGGCCAGTATTGTCCCTTATTTTTTATGGTAAGTCTATTTTGGTCCCTCAAATATAACCCTGAGCATATTTAGTCCCTTAAGTATGCTAAAGTGGAGCACCTTTAGTCTCATTGACACAATGTATTCAAAAACTAACAGCATTATCTCGTGTTACTCATGTGACACTGTAAGAAGAAGATCAACAGTAAAAGAAAAAAGTCGTTCTCATTTCGGGGTTGGTTTCAGCACTCATCGTCTTTTTAATTTACTTATCGAAAATATTTTATAAACCAACACTCACTAATAGTACAGAGATGATAAATTTAAGATTTTAACGTTGAAACTTTTACTTTTAAAAATTTCGGTTGATTTTTTCCAAAAGAAAAGTTAAAATTTGAAAAAAAATAGAGCTGCCANTATATATATATATATATATATATATATATATATATAAATAAATTTTATTATTTTTTCGGCTATTATTTATACAATAGTTACACAATATCATTGTCACGCCCCAACCTCAGGAGGCGCGCCCGGCACTCAACTGAGTGAACCCGATTGAGCAAGCATATTAGACACTTTCTAACCAACTTATTATGATCAAGAAAACAAGTTATTATTAATTATACAATAGGAAAATTTTGTAAACATTTCCAAATCGATTCATTTGTTACATGATTGGTAAGTTTTCAAAATTACATACACTTTTCAATTTGAAGTAACAAGGGTCCAAAACATAACATAATTCACTCATCCTTCCAATACCCATATACAACCCATATAGTGTCTACGGAGCCTCTAAAGATACAAAAGAGAATCATAACAATGCCGGCAATAAGGCCCCGGCTATATCTCAAAACGTGGTAAACATATAAATAAAAGGTGTACTACATGACCCCGGGAAGAAATGTGTCACGACCCAAACTGGAGGGCCATGACTAGCACCCGGCCATACTTGCCGAGCACCAACGTACATTTTATCTAACCTTTTTTTTATTATCTTTTAGGGTTGACGAGATCAATATAAATGGTAGACCTGGATCATGGACAACCATCAATAAAATATGATGGCATGAACATACATAGCAGGGGATGACCAGACAATCAAGAAAC